CATTAGCATTCGAGGATTCGGAGTAACAATGCTCGAACTACGTGAATGCCATGCAGGTAAATCTGCGTGACCTTCTCGTACAAGGTTCGCAATCTGTTCCTCTCTCTTTCTCTATCATCAGCAGACACTTGAGAACGTTCAGTTTGTGGTTTCTTTCTTTCCTCCTCGGCCCTCCCTTCCTATATCAATATTGTATCTTTATTATCGAGAAGTAAAATTTGTTTTCGAAACGAAAGATAATTTTCTTATAAAGAAATTATTCGTTTCATTTTACGTATTCGTCGTAACCAAATAATATTTTATTTGGTTGAAAGATATTACTTCAAATAATAGCGTTCTTTCTGTTAAATAATAATTTTCTTGAATGAGACAATAGAATTTTTTACTCAAATAATATCTCGTATGTGTTGTTTCTATGGAAAACAAATTTCAGTCAAATAAATAGAAATACTAAATCTCTGAAGGAACCTTTTTCTCTGTCTCATCTGCATGATGGATTAATAAGATTACGGAAATAATGTGACTTTGTGTGATATCAGCTTGTCACGGTCATTAGCATTCGAGGATTCGGAGTAACAATGCTCGAACTACGTGAATGCCATGCAGGTAAATCTGCGTGACCTTCTCGTACAAGGTTCGCAATCTGTTCCTCTCTCTTTCTCTATCATCAGCAGACACTTGAGAACGTTCAGTTTGTGGTTTCTTTCTTTCCTCCTCGGCCCTCCCTTCCTATATCAATATTGTATCTTTATTATCGAGAAGTAAAATTTGTTTTCGAAACGAAAGATAATTTTCTTATAAAGAAATTATTCGTTTCATTTTACGTATTCGTCGTAACCAAATAATATTTTACTTGGTTGAAAGATATTACTTCAAATAATGAAGTAGTGTGTAGGAATTACACAGGTGTATCTAAATCCAAAGAAACTTTTTCCCTTTGTGATGATTGGGAGGAGGACGGAGAAGATCTTAAAAAGATATAAAAACATACAAATAAAATATTTTTCTGATTAGAGAAACTTGAGAATTTCGAAAACATACAAAATACTGACCGAGTTTTCCTTCAATCGAGAAAGTCTCGTAGAAAGTATTCGCGCATTTTTTCCGCAGTTATCTCATTCGATTCACCGTGAGGAAAAAATTTACCTCGCCTTCCACAGTAAACAAAAACGCACGCAGCGTGTAGTGGGGAGCGGGGGGGNATCAGAACTCGTCGTCGTTCTCTGCGATATATGATTTATGAGCGCAATGAGCGTAGGCGGGACTGTCATCCCGAGCGCAGGACGATAAGTCGTAGGTGCGCTTCCGGTGCGCCGCATTGTAACTACGCTAATTACGACGTAACGACCGTTATCGCGTTGTATGGGCCATACGTTCACGGAACTACCGAACACGCGCAACATAAGACGCATTGTGTACATTAATTGCGAGAGGCTGAATCGCCGAGACAATCTGTCGTGACGCGCGTCTCGTTGCGCGAGATTAAAATACGCCAATATACACAGCAGTATCTCCGCGAGGCAAAATGAGAATCGAGAACCGGGATCAACGTCGGGCAGCATCATATCGCGTATTTGACGAAAACCGGCTATATCCGCGTATGTACGTATGTATACATTTTTTCCTGTAAATATCAAATCGACCGAGAAGTCCTTCCCCACAAAATACGCATCTCACTTGTCGGCGTATCTCCAAGCGAAGAGACCACTTTGTTCAACACCTGTTCGTTGTTTACGCGAGAAATGACTTTCGAATCACAACCTGAGAGATTTAAGGTGTAATATAATAATTCGTAACGGCGCAGAAGCAATATATAGCGCGTAAATGTCGCCTTTATGCATTTAGAGGGACGGAAAGAGAGACGAGAGACCACCGTGGGTAGACTTACTCAGGACGAGTAAAGTAGTCGAGTCAATGGCATAAACAACGCCCGTCCGTACCGAGAACCCGAGTACCGTCCTCGACGCTTTTCTCGGGGAAAACGAAAAACACGGATAAGAGCGATACCAGTGATCAAAAGGCGCATGACGCACCGAATCGAAGATAGGGGTAGCCGGTTAGAGGCGAGACAGACAGAGAGAGAGAGAGAGACAAGGGGACGCTGAAACATTGATTACGTAGATTCGAGAGATCGAAAACGGTCGATCTGGCGGCCGAATCCAACTTTTGTCACTATGGACGTACGAACCGGCCGTGCGAATGATCGCGAGTATATAAAAAAATAAGCCAGAGCGAAATTTAATAAAGAGGATTGAAATAAATAAATAATATATACGGGAAAACGATCACCAGTTAAATTACAACGCGGACAAAAAATCCTGTTATTTTTCCCGCAATTTAATCGCATTTAATCGCACGAATAGTCGTGTCAATTATGGGAGTACACTAGAAAAAATGACTCTGATAAAAGATATATGCAGTTTACCGAGACACACATCCAGTTACTGTCTAGTATCTATTAATATATTCTTGTTATTTATAATAATACAAGGCGTAAGAAGACGATAAGAATTAGATAGAGTTTTATTCAATGGTTTCTGAAGCGATTTTCCTGGGAAAAACATGCACAGTTTGCGCATATTAACGCCAATTATAATTTAGTGTTAATTAATAAATTAATGGAAGAGTTTTTCTGTCTATTTATTGTTCCGTTTCGTTAAAATATTTTCAGTAAAATACAGATTTTATATATTTTTTGTGCGCGGTAACTGCAAGAAAAGCATTGATTAGAATTCCGAATAGTTTTACTCTTCAGTTACTAAACAAAAGTTAATATAACTGTCCAGTAACTACTCAAAAAACGCATGCAAAATTCTATCTGGGAATCTGTACAAAATTTTATATAAAAGCAAAGATAAATGGATATCTTCGGATAAATGAATAATATATAAATACATAAATGACTGCCAATTAAATTAATATACAACGCGTAACAGATTCACTTGTTCTTCCTACGTATTTCGTATATTTAATCTTGGAATAATGGAGCGTATCTCTCGGAATGCTGTTGGTTAACTATTTCGATTTCCTCATATCACGCTTCAAAATGCAAAACTTCAATAAAATTCGCCGGCGGAAACGAGGAATATTTTAGGTTGCAGAGACGGCGATATAATTTGTCATGAAGTGGCTATCATCACTCGCTGCTGCTCGGTCATCGATATTTTTTCTTTTTCTTTTTACAGACGATTTGTTAATATTAACGAGTAGTTTTCCTCGCTTCGTTCCAAACATCACGGTCAGTAAAATTTCGCAATGTTTGAGGAACGCCTCAGGTTGAAAACGGCGATATCGTTGTCGTTATACGTAGTTACCACTTGCTGACCGTCGTAATCCTTTTTTTTTTACGGGCAATTTGTCAGTAATAACGAGTCGGTTTCCTCGTAACGCGGCGCTTCCACAACATCACGTTAAATTAAAATTGAGTAAAGTTAAGTAAAATTCCGTAGCGGAAAATCTGAGGAAGGTTTCTATTTGAAAACGGCGATATATTGCCTGTCATTATACAGCTATCGCTTGCTGATCGCCGTTTCTCTTTTTTTTTATGAACGATTAATCACAATAGAATTGTTCGTGTTGCTTGCACTTTTCGCATTTAGACCAAGACGGACGTGTATTCGCTAGAAGAAACAAGAGAGACGAGAGAAAGAGAGGGGGTCGGGTGAGAAAAGTGCAGGCAACGCGAACAAACCGGATGATACAACGTTTCGATCGAAGTGGTACGAAAAATTCTCCATCTACTGAGCGCCGACTGTATTTACGACTGTATGTACACATAGTCGATGTACGTACGTCATCCGCGCAAGAGAGTATCGCGCGATCGTGACGATCTATAAAAGGCGTTGCGCCAAGAATCCGCGATTTAAATGAAAATCGTGAATAAAGGGCGGACCGGCCAGTTCTCTCTTCCTCGCGAGCTAATCGTGTGTGCTCATCAGAGCTCATTTTGCGCTCACGGACACCCGTTACACGCAAAATGACATTTAGCCGCGTCACCGACTCCACGATGCGACATTATTTCTTGAAACTTCTCGTGAAAACCGAGGCTGAATCGTCGGAAAAGAGAACAGGAAGGAGGAAGTTGCGATAACGATGTCCCCACAAGGCAGCATAATCGTGGGAAAAGAAAGAAAATTGCAGGTGCGAGTATGTGTGCGTGTGTGTGTGTGTAATCACAAAACCTGGATGAGCTCTTTGTTGAGCGATGCGTAAGCGCACAATCGTAAGTGCATTCTTTTTCTTGTGCCCGAGTTATCGCGTTTCCCGCTAAACGGACATTGACACGTACGCGCGAGGAGGGAGGGGAGGGGGGGGGGAGCGTTGTCGGAATAAAATGCACTCGGATGCGCCTGCAAATATATCTTCAAAATCGCAATTCGTGAGTACACGTTTCGTATTGTCTCGATAAACAAAAAAAAATATAAAAATAAACAGGACACGAGAACGTAACTACAATTGGGGAAACGAGCGAATGTCACTGCGCGTGTCGCACATTCGAAATAAATTTCCTCTATCCGTGGCGATTACGCGAGATCTCTGCGAGACCGACTGGGAGGATCCGTGAAATTAATCTCGCCAGTCGATCGTGACGTAAGACGGTGTGTATTCTGTTAGCGAGAACTGTCACCCGCACGAGTACAATGACGAGAGCGTAAACACTCTCGATTTGAGTATTCAAGTGCACGCACGTCATCCGATTCTCTCCCCGCGCGTCAGGGTTTCCCGACCCACCCTCCCTCCCTCACTTTCTTTCTTCCTTCTATTTCGGGAATAGACAAATAATCGCGAGCCCGCGCCTCCGAAAAATAATCGCGACGCAGCGTCGGGCGAGACACGTGCGGCGAACGCGGCCATTCGGTCGCGAGCGGGCACAACATGGCGGTGGGTTTTCGCGGCGAAAAGAGACATCACCGCCGACCGGACGGACTCTCGCCGAGAGAGCGAGAGAGAGAGAGAGATATATAGATGGATAGATAGAGACGCGTATTCTATGCGCTTACCTGCATATTCGTGTTCGTGTCGTCGATAATCTTGTCCGTTTCCATGTTGTTCATCCTCCGAGCACACAGAGCGTCGGCGCGTCGTGTTCGCGTGTTCCACGTTAGGCGCGACTACTACGGGCGAGGGAGCCTGCGGTGGTGGTGGTGGTGCGTTTTTCACGCGCGCGAGAGGCGTGGGGCGTGAGAGAATCGTCGGGACGGCACTCTCCGCGGGGATGTGTGAGTGCGACGATACCGTCCAAACGGAAGAACGACGACGCGGGCGAACGAACGCGAGAACGACCCGGGTGGAAAGAGCACCGTTCAATACAGCCCGAGACACAGCACCACGGACGACACAAGACAGCGGCGACGGGGACGCTCACGAGCCGTCGCCATGCACGAGAAGTCGGAGCCACATTTCAACACGAACCACAGCCCGTGGCGATAACCGTGTCACTAGCGGCGGCGTCTGACCGAGGAACCAGTGCTAGAAGAGCCCGCCTGTCCCTGCCTTCTCTCTCTCTCACTCTCTACCTCCTCCTCGTCGCGATGGGTATTATCGGAGTAATATTGCGCAATATCGCGTCGAGCGTAACTCAGTCTTCTTCGCAGCGCAGACTGAATCAAACTGAACGGACGGAGAGGAACGAAAGTATGGCCGCGCACGACCGACCGCAGCGCCGCGCGGGACGCCCGCGCGAACTAGAGTCCGAGAGCAAACCCCGAGACAGATCGCGGGCGCCCGATTGGCCGGCGCCGCCAAGTCGAGGATTCGCTGGCCGTGAGCGTCCGAGGAAGAGCGCGTACTTTCAAAATGGCGTCGTGTCATCCGCATTTCTCGCGAGACTTTGAAGAAAGGAAAGAAGTCGCGTGAGGCTGATGCGAGGTGCGATTGAATGAACCTCGAGGTGTAGAAAAGATCGGACGGAGTAGGATGATCCGTGATTGAGACTCGAAGATCGAATTCGCTTGAACTTCGACTCTGTTCTCTGGTCACGTGTGTATAGAGATACATTTATTCGATCTTCTGTATATACAAAATACAGATCTCAAGGATTAAGAAGATGAAAAATAAATAAATCCCAAGGCGCAACGTCGTCCAACATCTTGACGAGCGTTGACGAAATATTAAATACTGTTTTTATAGAACACTGACATGTATGGCGTGTAATGCATGGCCACCGTTAGATCCATTTAATCTGCTCGTTCTTGTTGGACTTGGCATTGTTGCTCGATTGAATTTGCGATGCGAGCGCGACGTACGGCCTGTCACAGTACGACGAGTCTAACGGAGGGTAATAATGTCGGTAGCAGATGTACGTTAAACAGTAGCCTATTACCGAGCCTGCCGCCACGTCTGCAAATGGACCGCTTGTAAATAAGGTAAAGTTGTGATTATCTCATCTCGGTAAGACGGTATTTACCCTGCCAATGATGATGATAATCGCATGTTCTGCTTAACGCGATGGCGAGAGCGACGCAGAGCGGTAAAAAGAACATACACAGTCTCCACGATTGCCCTTTCCCAGCCAGACTGAATGTATGTAGCTTCCCGGCTAAGTACAGGGCGATGAAACCGAAACTCGCGAACGCAACTAGAAAGAAAGAAACGTTTCTTTATGTGAAAATGTCTTGCTCATCGGGATACGTGTGTATGTGTGTGTGTGAACTATTTACTCTCTTCCGCGTAATGATGCATTTATGTAAACAAGAGCGATGAATATGCACATACATAACACACATATTGCGTACACATTTGTGTCAATCACAGGTGTTCGCACTAATACAAAATTAACGTACATGAGGAATGTCCGCTTGGGAATGATTTCTTGCCATCTCTGATAGTAGTTGGATCGCCGGTACACTTAAATCCTGCATTCATTTGACCGTCTGGAAAGCACCGCCAGAAGAAGTCTGGCCTTGGGCGACCTGAGAAATAACGCGTATGCAAATGATATTATATACTGGCCCAAAATAAGATCTCGTGCATTCTGCTTAAATGTTTGGATGAACGACATACCTACTATGAGTTTCAAAATGTCTGTAATCAGACCATTGAAACCTAGAGCTAATGTTACAGACAATATCGCCTGTTGAAGATCAATCCTGTCTTTGTGCCATATGAAAAAGAAACAAATCACAGCGATTGGCATCATGAATACAAGAGGCTGGAAAGAAGGAATCTTATTGAATGTAAATTACAATATAGTACTTTATATATTGGGATTGTAATCTCTCTAAATGTACGTACCCATAATACTGTAGTTGGAACGAACGATTCCGTCCTTGGATTTCTATATAACCATAATTCATCCTCGTGGATTTTTCTCGTAAATGGTTCTGCTTTCTCTAGTTCTCTAAAAATCATAAGATTCAATACACTTCACGCACAGTCATCGCTGATAATATGAAATTATCGTATCTATGTAAAATTCAATTTTAAATATATATGTGCAATATTTATTTTGTTACACGGGACAGCTACAATATGGGAAATCATGCTGTATTAATAGAATTATCAATAAATTCCAAATATTTGTTTTTAAGCAAATCTACAATAAGATGAATGGTACTATTGCGAATCGGTTCTAATTAATTTCATTTTAAATTTCATTTAAATAAACACTGATCAACACAGGCTAATGATAAGGTATTGATTGTTCAGTTGCACGTCCATTAAACGTTAACTTACACGAACAGTACGGCCAGAAAAACACGTAGTAAAACGTCAAACAAAAAACCGACTGAAAGCTGGAGTCCGCTTACGTTAGTCATCTCAACATATCACGTATTTAAACTATAAACAAGCCGCTTCGTTTGTGTAAAGAAAGTATAGAAATCGTAACGTTAAAACCCTCATCGTGTAATAATACAGCTCGCGTCGAGACCGATCGACACGAAAGTGCGGCCAAGTTTCATACGATATACCAGGTAGAGATAAAACATCGATAGTAAATATCGATAGTAATCTCGATTAAAGTTCATATACGATTTTCACTTCCGGTTAGGTTAGAGCTCGAACGCATCGTGCATATATGCACATATTTTTGTGTCGTATTGTTGATTGTATTGTCTTTCAAGAAGATTTACCACATCAGTCACATTATGAAAGCAACAATAACAGTGCACATATATATGTAATCACCGTACAAATTACCGAGGTAACCGGAAGTGGAAGATTTTTTACGAGAATCGTGTGTATCTAGCGTTAAGTTAGAACTGAGGTCCATTTCGCGCTGCAAATGTGCTTTGAAGCGCCACATAGACCAATCATGTTCTTTCTTCGAGCGCTCCAAAACGTTTGCAGCGTCAAGTGGATCCCAGCTTAGGTCTTCGAAAATGCGTCGCTTCCGAAACCTGGCAGTCTTGGCGGTGAACGATGATTTTTTCTTCTTTTGAGGTTATCCGCGATCGAATGCGTCGAGCATTCGCGATACTTTGCGTTAAAGCCACGGTAAAGCGACGCACATTCCACAGTATTATTCGTAAAACTTCAATGTTTCACATACGTTTGTAACTTGATGAATAAAGAAACCTCGATTGTTAATGTGATAGCGTGAAGCGAGTCTAGGTTAGTTTTCACATTCCTTACGAATCTGATCGTTGAGTAGGAGAAACAGTAGGAGAGCACGTATCGTGATATAACGTACGTGAATTAACTCGATCATTTATACTTGCGTAATATATAATGAGGTTATCATCGTTTATTTCGATTTTAATTACGTAATATGTAATTGTGCAATGTTGCTTTCAGGGAAGCTCGTTATCATTGCAATTTCGAGCATCTGTGCGATATTTGGATTAAAATTCAGACATTCCCAGATATTCTCAGGGAATATATGGGAGAATATCCCAGATATTCTCAGGGAACATATGACTCTCGAATAATTGCACTAGTGTTGAAATTAAGACGACATAATGTTAACATCTGTATCTGCGGCACCTTCCACCTCCATGGGTAGTTCCGGACTACCAAGCCCGACCATTGATTCACATGACGATAGTTTTAACAAATTGACAGATTATCTGCACAAACTAGCTGGGAACCATGAGATGGAAGTTGACATTATAGTCAAAGATCACTGTTACGCGCGGCCCTGGAACTGGAGACCGGAAAATATTTATGTAAAGCCTGTAAAAAGACTGTTTTTTTCAAGGAACACCGTGTCACGGTATGTTGTTTAACGATAATTCGTAATTCGACCATTTTCTCTGTGTAAAAATATCCGTACAACACAAAAGCTAACAACATTGTTATAATGTTTGCAATATTGCCGCATTCTGTGCTGTACGAATAATCGATGACGATATCTGTATTCATTGCTTTGCTATGTTGACATTTTAGTGATAAACTTAGGAAAAACGAAGAAGTTGTTGTGGACGATATTGGAAGCGACTCAACAGCACCGCCGTTCGATCTGGAGAAAGCTCGGCAACAGATGGATGAGTTTCAACGTGTAACGAATAACGTACGGCAAGAAGAGGACGAGGATTGGGAAGATAAGATAAGCAAAGAACTGTGGTCCTCGGTGCAGACTCGAATATTCACCAAAGTAACTCGTATACTAAGCTCGGAGAGGCTCGCGAGATTGGCCAAGGCCACGCACGAAATAGAGCCGATCTTTCGGCGGACGTCCGTGGATATCGCAGCGAGGAGATTCCGGGAGACATTGGCGTCGACCGGGTGGGACTGGAGACTGGTGCACTGGCTGCATAATTTACTGTTCGAACATCTTCCCCAGGAATACTTGGTCATTTATTTGGACATCTTGCAGACACTAAGACCAAAGATACCTCAGCTGATCGACAAGATGATCGCAATACAGCCGAACATTAACTCCAGAACAGGTTCCGTAACATGGGAGACACTAGGGTATCTATTCAAACGATCATGGGACCCAGTTTCACAGAGCTTGAGTGGGAGTAGACCTGTAAATATGACTCGATCATTAGTACATACCGGTATATTAACGCGTTAGAGTTACGTATTAGAGAAAGAGAGTAATGTGTTACGCGCGTTAAATCCCTATAATATGAGACATCTGTGTGATCGGTTGCAGAAGAAATTGCCTGGGAATCCGATTTTAATAATAGTACCCTCCGGTAATACGTCCACCGTTTCTCCTCGTCAGACCAAATGGGTCACGCAACTGAGTTCGTTAGGTATGGTCGTTACCGTTCACAACCACTTGGGATTGGCTGCTAACAGAATGACCATGCTAGTGTTCATGGATCAGCTGGTTCAGGCTACGAGAACGAAGATACAGGATGTTAGAAGCGACTATCCTGGTAAACCGATAATATTGGTCGGCTTCAATACTGGCTCGGCGCTTGCCTGTCAGGTAAGTTCACTTCGATCTTACGCAGCTCCAGTTGAAAGCAGCATCCTATAGAAGACGAGCGTCTTTTACTCTTTCACGTGTATTTCAAGACTCTTTTACATCTCTTGTCCTGTAACGATCTTCCCGATTGTTACCATTATCATACACATGCACATGCACGTTGAATCTCACCTGTCCTCGCGACACAGGTGGCACAGATGGAGCATGTGACCGCTATTATCTGCATCGGGTTTCCTTTCGCGACGGTCGAAGGGAAACGAGGCACACCGGACGATACTCTGATGGACATTCGTTCCCCCGTGATGTTCGTCATAGGGCAAAACGCCACTCTCGTGACGACCGACGATCTGGAGGAGCTGCGGGAGAAGATGTTGGTCGAGACGAGTCTGGTGGTGGTCGGCACGGCCGACGACTACCTCAGGATATCCACGTCCAAGAAAATACTGGAGGGTATCACGCAGAGTATGGTGGACAGATGCATATTGGACGAGATCGGCGACTTCGTCGGCGGCATTCTGCTGCAGCCGCACCCGTTGCCGTTGCGGCCCTCCGCGTTGGCGGCTAACTGCGACGGTAAAAGTAAGAAGGAATCTCACAAGCGACGGAACTCGACCAGCAGTTCCGTGGAGAGCGAGCCGAACTCGCCGGTCGCGAAGAAATCGCTCTCGAACGCGTCGACGGCGATGCCGTCGGTCGGGACGAACGCGACGTCGGGCGTGAACCCTAAGGTGGGCACCTTCAGCGCCCAGGCTAATCTGATGCAAGTGAGCGGACAGCACACCAACCATACTCCCAATCCGAAACGGAAGCGTACCGTGGGCAGCCAGAAAGCCCAATTTGGCGAGCACATAAAAGCATCCAGGCTCCCTGCACAGGTAATTATGCAAATTTGAGTATCTCACCGGAGACAAGTTTCAAGTAACGTCTATTAATCAACAAGCCCGACAAGATTCGACTTGGAACGAGAGACATACTGCGACGCAACGCGCCTCGAGCCTTGTCGAATACGCAACAATAAACGGAAATTCCATGAGACGCGCTTATTTGCAGACGAACATCAACGCGGAGAACGGCATAACGCTGAATATCGGCACCCTGGCGAGCCTGGCGCCCATAGGGCCGATACGTTTAGCACCCACTACCGTGGGCCAAGCCGCGAGCACGTCCCCCAAGACGTCCGGCACGTCGAAGTCCACGAGCGCGTCCGTCAAGATACCGAAGATCTTCTCGACAAATGTGCCGCTGCAGGGCATCTCGAAGATAAAGACGCTCGTTCCTACGTACTCGCCCATCACGAACGTCGTCTCGCACAATTACAGACAAGTGAGCGTACCTGACAAGAGCGGAGACGCGAAGCTGATGAGCGTCTTCACCGCGAGCGGAAATCAAATTAGGGTTAACACTACCGCTGCAGGTGAGTTATCGGTCGTTCGACGGTCAATCAAGTCCGGATCTGTAAGTTCAGATCTACGCTACGTGTACCAGCAAGCTTTTAGCTTTTTATTCTTAAGCACTTAAATTGTAATGTAACTTCTGACAAAAGAAAAAACAATCATTCGGGCTAAAAAGCTAAAGGCTTACTGCACCTACTGTAGATCCAAACTGAGGCTCCTTCCGTCGACCTTCTGGTCTCGGTCGCGCGCGCGCAGGATGCGTTATTCACGGCGTTGTGTTTCTGTCTTTTCCAATCGTAAACAACAGGAGCCCTCAAGCCTATCGCCTCGGGTGGTGCGTTGTCGAATCTTTTGCAAGCTGGGAAGAACACCTCCTCCCCCTCCTCCACGCTGCCCACGAACGCCACGTCCTCCGCCCGCGTGTCGTCGGCCTCCAGTATACTGCTGACAACTAGCAATTCGCCAGCGAATAGTATAGCACCGTCCACGTCATCCAATTCAAAAGGTAGATTACTATTATCTAATCAACTATTAAACAGTTTACCAGAAACATAGTCCGATCGATTGCCAATCGATTGCGCGACGTTACGGTCATGTCTGTCTCGCGGGTGTACTTACGACTATTCGCATTTAACTGATTAAATAGGTCGGTTTAATGAAACGAGGGTGACCGTCCAGTCATCGCAATGTCGTAACGCGTTAACTTTGACGGTTAAACCTCCGAAAAGGCTCATGCTCCGGAGCATGATTTAGTTCCAATTTAGCACGTAGATGAGTAGACTTATCCTTTTTTTTTTTATAGTACTTATTTAATAGCCAGTATATCTGAACGTAATGTAAGTGAGTATTTAATAGGTATCTTGTACAAGGCAGTAAACTCTCTCCCCCTTTTTTTTTTTTTGCGATTCTCTTTCCCTTTCTCATACTGATATACTTCAAAAAGGAGCGATACGACCTGTACATAGTCACATATACATTTTTATACGTAACTTTTACACTCGCACAAACAAAGTGACGGCTGTACGAATGGCTCTCGGAATCGCGCGGTATGCATGATCTTGGTAGACAGTAGACCGCATCGAAGGGGGGAACAGACTGAACACTTAGTTTCTCGTTAATCTTATCTTCGCGACTCGACCGATGCTCTAGGTGACGCTAAGATGTAAAGAATTAGAGCAAAACGCACACTAATACTGAAGTATTAGCAGCTACGGTGATTTCGTACATTGACACTTTTTCTTCCTTTTTTCGTAATGCTGCTATGTACTTTGCAATTTATAAATTATATTCCAGTACCAGGTAGTATTTGTACGTTATACAAGTTTCGTCGTAGAGGTGTTCTTTGATGTAAATAAAATTGATTACATATATATGTAGACTCGAGAAGAATTAACCGCACAGAACACAGACGGTTGTACATTACGCCCCAAGGGCTTCTGTGTGTAATATAATTATACATCCATCGTACATGCGTGACGTGTTCTGTTGAGGTGTTGTACTGTATAATACATATATATATATGTATATATGCATACATATAATTAAAAAAAGAAAATACAATAAATCCTTGCGTATTAACAAGGAAAATACGTCGCGCGATATAGCTCATTTTCAAATAGTGGAACAGGTGGTTAGTTTATACGAAAAGCGTCTGCTCGATTCATATTTATTGTAAATCTTCCCTTATGTGAAGCCAAAACACTCTCCTTCTAAGGACTCGCTTAGTATTAATTTCACGCTAGACTTATTTCGCTTCGCAAGCTTCCTTGAACGTACGTTCCCTTTAATTTCGCAGCCAAAGTAGCTAGAAGCGATTGATAAGACGTGTGCCCGGTTTTGCCGATTGTTTCGATTATTCGATTTTACTGTAACGTAATTGTATTCACGCGACACGCGTGAAAATTTCTTCAAAGACTGGAGACGAGGGAAAAAAAAGGGGACAATTTTTTTCCCCCTCAACGACAAAATATTTCGTGAATGTAACGGGGAAACGAGTGAGAGAACTCGGTCTGCCTTTCTTTCATCGCTGAATACCCGCGAATATGCACGGTGAAATCAATCGTATGTAAGCATATGTTATGCACATTGTATTTATGTATGCTACTTAATATTCACGATCGCATGAATGGTGAGCATTTGCATCGTGCATCCTCGAGTACGCACTAAAAAAAAAAAAGAAAGAAAAAAAAAGAAAAGGAAAAAAGGAACATTGTAAACATTAGTGCCAGGTTGCCTTTTATTTTGTATTCAATAAACATTTTGTTGACGTAACACACACGAATTTGTTTGATTTCCAATCCCTGGTCCTGCCCGCTCACTCGCTCGGTCATTCAGATTACGAACGTGTCCAGGTGACGTGAACGAACCGATTGGTCGAGACGTTAAGTCACTGATCGTTCGCTCAATAAGAGACCCTTCACTGCAGCATGTCGCAGCAGGTCTTTCGGGGAACGGCATAAGCGCTTGATCGCTGTAGCAGTAGAGCTCTTGCGAATGTAGCGAACGTGAGACGAACAGAAATCGGCTCACCACATCTCGAGGTGGTGTGAAGTCCTCAACCTAAGATCCGCAGCGACACCGAGAGAGAGAGAGAGAGAGAGAAAAAAAAAGAGATTCTCTCGGTCTCTACCGATCGACACGCTTTTCGTTGACGCACACACGTTAGTGTCAGATTTAGGAAACCGACGGCCGGGATTAACGAATGAGACGAATATACGTGTATGTATGTATTTTGTAGCGACGGAGGAGATGGACGTAAGCGGTGACGCTCACCAAGCGATGCTCGGTCCGACTCGGAGCTCGCTGGACGTTTCGAAGCCGACGCACTTGCCGCTGCGACCGGGAGCCGTTAATAGCGATAACAGCCCGCACGGTACGCCCTGCGGTAACATAGTCATTATCGAGAATCCCCTTCACAACCGGGGCGCGACCTCGTCGGTGATCGTGCCGTTCAACAGCCAAGGCTGCTGCCCGGCCGGCGTTCAATTACCGGGCAAGCTGAAGATCTCGTCGCACAAGTCCGTGAAAGCGATGCCCAAGATCACCGTAAACGCGAACAACCTGCAGCGGCTGCAGAAGGGCAAGCCGGCGCAGCAGCAGGCCGTGTCGCCGAGGAAGAATCTCGACATAGACGACGAGCTCGGGAACATACTGGACATACCGATCATATTCGCCAAGGACGACGACAGCTTGGGCAACGCGGTCGACAAGGTACCGGCCATGAAGGTTCAACCGAAGGAGCAAACCCCTCCGGAGAGGCCCAAGTTGAACACCACCACCACCACCACTACCAAAGTGGTCCTCATCAGCAACAAGCAGGACAAGCTGCAACAGGCGCAACAGAGCAAGCTCGCCGCCAGTTCCGCCGTCATCTGCCCCGCCAACGTGCAGAACCTGAATCACCTGATACTGCAGGCCCGATCGCAGCAGAACAGCAGTAATGGCGGTAACAACGTCGCGTCCACGGTGAAGAGCCGAGTCGGCCCGGGGATGGAGAGCCGACTGATGCAGCCGACCGTCAAGTACACGAAGATCATCCTGGCGAAGAGGAACACGCTGCCGCCTCAGCAGCAGAGCAAACGGCCGGGCGAGCAGGCGGCCACGACCCTCGACGACGCGCCCAAGATCTTGACCTTCGAGAAGGACGACGACAGATTCGTCCAGGCGTCCCACAGCGTGCCCACCTACGACGATCCGTTCGCGGGCAACGTGCTGGAGATCGAGGACGCCATCAAGACGAATATCATTGAGCGCAAGTACGCGTCTGCCTCGGTCGAGCCATCGTCGATCTCGCCAGCCGTCACTCTCGCCGACGACGACTGCCTCGCGGATATCCTGAACGAGACGGAGTTGGACGACGGCTCGGAGCAGCCCGTCTTCGATGCCGATCAGGCGCGATCGTAGAATCTACTCGGAACGGAGGCTCTCGTGTCGACGACGCGACCTTGGCTGATCGTGCGGTAAGCGGCGCCTGCGAAGCACGCATTTTCACGTGATATATATATCGATATTGTCGAGAGAGAGAGAGGGAGAGAGAGATCTAACGATACATTGAGAGATTACAACGCTGTTCTCCAAGCTGATCTCCAAGCTTTAAGGCTCCTGGTCCTTCGCTGCAACTATCCTTGGTTGATGACGTCAGAAGCGAGAAAACGCGTGTCAAGAATTCTTACGTTCAAATAAAAAGATATACTCACGAAATAACATTTGTGATCGATTCTGACGTCATCAAGGACTGCTGCAGCAAATAACCAGAAGCCTTAATGTAATAGTGATTCATAGTGTATTTTATTATTATGTAAGATTACGACGCGATCTCTACTCTCAACGTTCTTCAGTGCGACGTGTCGACGCAGGAACGTGAGAGAGAGAGAGAGAGAGAGAGAGAGAGGAGAATATTTATTGTTCGAGATTATTTAATTGCGCTTAATATTATTATTATTATTATTATTATTATTATATATTCTTCCGTGACATGTTTCGATGCCCGCTACTAATTCCGAATCGGCCAAAGAATTCGAGGGACGAGAAGTATTGCACGGGGCGTTAGCAGCGGGAACGGCACTTCTCGTAAATTATATACACATACAATTGTTAAGAGGGATACATTCGCATTACGACTTCGACGTGCGCGAGAAGCACGTTGCAAGTAGAAGAGACTTACGTATAGGTAAAAATTGCTGTACGATATTGATTGGCAGCTGCGGCTCAATCCTCGGCCCCCAGTAGAGCGTCTCCGTTTTCCGACGTGAACATCACGTATATCTTCTTGCTTAACTCCGGGCCGACCTTACGCGCAGCCGTCAGAGGCCCCGCCGCTCTTCTGATCTGTTTAACATTTAATGTTACAACTTTCGCATATATTTATTACACATCATCAAGAATCACAAATTATAGCGGGACACACTGTGTTTCGTCTAGAAACCTCAGTGTTCCAACATTTCAACACGACACTTAAACTGCGACCGGGAAATTTGCATTTATACAGAATGAGTTCGCGGAGGAAACAAGCAGCAAACAGAACCTGATGGAAGCTCAGTCTCTGATAATTGCGTTTCCGATAATTTCACTACTTTATACAGCAATTTGCTAAGCTACGAAGAAATAAAACTGAAAGTCACTCACTGGTATATCCCTCAATAAATTCATGCCCTCCTCAGGTGTGCGATTCCTGTAAGCCTGTGAAAGGATGAAATCGAAGACACTTTATTTAACGTGTAATCGCACGTGTATAGGACGGGAGGTAACTTCTCGATAAGACAGCGAGGCCAAGTTCACACGTCACGACGTTGTAACTGGAATAATACCTCGACAAGTTGCGCCGGGCTCGGGTAAACATTGCATATTGCCTCCGCCGTCTCCAGAGTGCTCAAGTTAAACTGGCTCAGCTGCTGCTGCCACAATCTCTTCAGTCCGTTCCCATCCTTGTCCACGCGTACGGTGTTCCTGTTGTCTCCCATGACATACCAGTCGAACTTACTCTCCAGATTGTCCTTCTTCTGCAACTTATACGGTATCTCCGAAATTGACTTCGTATACTGATAGATCATCAACCCCAAGTCCTGCGCGTTCTCGATCAATCTGCTGCTACACTTGTCTACAATCTGCACCTCGGTCAGGCACATCTCGAGTTGCTGCCTTGATATGATCGGCAAAGCGTCGAACTGCTGATTACCTTTGCCTCTGTGCCTCGATCCTTTGCCTCCGGAATTCTGCTCTGATCTCTCTTTAGAAGCCTTCTTGCCACACGCGAAGTATTCCTCCATGCCAAAGATAACCAGCGTCATGGAGTAATCCGGTATCAAGGCCTTGCAGCTTGAGACGGAAGTGCGGAGAGTACCGTCCGCTACGTGTCTCACGGCTTCACGGTTGCTCCAAATAACGACGGCGTACTTTTCCTTCTGCACCCTCCTTCTCGCGCGTATCTCGTTGTTCTCGTCGACGAAACACTCCTCGATGTTTCGCTGCCACGTGATACTGTTCGGAATTGATTCGGTGGTTACGTTAAACGAAACATCAGCGTCTCGCAGTACGGTCTGAATTTCCGCGGAAAAGGGAAACGCGTTGATACCTTCGTCGAGATTGACCTCCATGAATTTTACGCACTCCCCGGGTTTCATGTCGCGCGACTTCTTCGAGGTGATCGCCCGTAACGCTTTCTCCCTCGCCAGAGTTTGCTGCCGTTTCAGTCGTTCCTCCTTTAACGCGCTCTTGTTCTTCTTAGACGAGCTCCCCTTTCCCGCCGTCGCCTTTTCGACCCGGTTGTCCTCGGAATCGTGGGAATCGGACGCGGCATGCGGCGACCTGCGACGAGCGCGCTTGGGATCATCAACGTTGTTGACGTTGAAATCGTAGAGATCCTCGTCGTTCGGCGACGATGAGCTTTCCGTCCTGCGGCAGAACGGCACCTCCGGGAGATCGATGTCCCTCGAAGTGTCAGTGTGGTATTTCTCGTTAGTTTCGCTGACGCGTCCATTTCCGCAGCACTTATCAATAGGTGACGACGGCTCGTCCGAGTCACTCAACACGATCACGCTCGACATTAGTGTTTGTTAGTGTTCGTTCGTGGAAGTGTATTATCTGTCGTCTGAGTTTGTTATCTGTATACTTTCACGGTGGATCTATCCTGGGGAAATGTTACTTCCTTGCGATTATCGAGTGCCCCCGATCTGTTTTACAAATCTTCCGATACACGATATCGCCCGTCAGATTTAGGTTATACGTTCGCATACCAATGATGCAGGGAAGCGTCACGTATCGGAGGCACGCGCGAGCAATTCGACCAATGACAAGGGACTTAATCCAAAAATCAGTTTCTCGTTAAGGAAAGTGGCGACTCGTAACGGAGATTATGGAAGCGAATTACAGAAATAACGGGTTTACGGAATTTTCAGACCCGTTATTTCTGTAATTTAGTTCCAGAATCTCCGCTACGAGTCGCTACTATATTTAACGCGAAACCGAGGTCGTGATACGACTAAACGATGGAGCCGGAGTACTTTATATTTCTCAAGTAGTATGACTCAAGGGCTGACCAGGCGTACTTTCCATTGTAATAAAACATAGGCGAAATTCAACAGGCTGTAACTTTCGCAATAATGATGTTATCGAGATCGTTCGAAGAGCACTTTAAAGCTTGAAGTGTTTAAAGCGAAAACAATCATACCACCGGATTGATGTAATAAAAGTATTTTATTATTTTGCTTTCTCCACTTCTTGAGTTTCTTTGATAATAATTTCGCGACAACTTCTTATATGCAGCAAACTAATTGTTCTTGGGATTGTCTTTGGAATTCATCAGGTTTTACGCGTATTTAACGTGCGAAAATGCAATATAATTTACAAATATAAATTCGAATTCCTCAGTCTTAATTTTCTTGTTAAAGCGTGTATAACTAATATATTGCTCTATTACTTATTTTTATGCCTACACTTTGTATATGTAATTTGACAGCTGTCAGATTGTGGCGGCTGTGCTCTATCTCGCTTGCATGCGAGCTCGCTCCCCACCACACGCCGGCGAGCTAGTCTTTTGTCACTGCACGGCTAGTCTTTTGTCGCTGTACGGCAGTAAAACAGTGGAGACTAGCCCGCCGTTAGAGCTGCATCGTTCTAGTGTTTCTCTACGAAATAAGAGTCTTTCTTAATCTCTGTGCCGAGTACTCAGTGGGCACATGCCTAGATTCTTCCCGGGCTATCCCTTCTAAACCTCCACAAGATCACCTGCTGCGCATGATCGTCAATTCATAGGTTCGCTTCGTCATAATTTTGTGTTCCGAAATCGGTGTGTTCCGAAATATGAGAAACGAAAACTGTGGCAACCGAGTGTACATACATCGGAAGTCGCAAGCTTCCGTATAAAGTGAGAAAACCGGATGTTCAGCGAAACAGACGCGGGATTCGTCAAAAAGGCGCGCACGGCGAACGGTCAAGTGAATGGTAAGAATTGACAAGTTGTATCGAGCGTAATTTTTGTTACGCTGCGAGAGGAAAAGAAAGCCTCTCGTTTCTTTCGATCGCACTCGAGTATGTATAACTCGAATCGCGGAGGCGGTTAATGAGCGTTGATATATCTCGGTAAAATCGCCCACAGAGATCATTGTTGTCTCAACGAGAAGATTGATGGCAATTGCGATAGGTTATAATCTGTAAGAAGATCGTAACGAATACGTTAATCAAACTTAAATCGATCAAGTTCACAAGTGCGACACGGAGCGTCGAGAGGCACCGATTGTAAGGAAGAGAACGGTTTGGTGCGCCCGAAGCCGGGTTACCTCGTCGAAATGGATTCACCGTCGCGCGAAACGTCACCGGAGCTCGAAATCGAGGATAGCGAGATCATGGACGAAATTTTGAGCATGTACTGCAGCAAATCCGTTCAGTCGGAGCAAAATGGTACGATAAAGAAAAATGAGAACGTCTCGGAGAGTAAATCCTGGTACGAAGAAGTGGAGGAGAAGAAAGTTGCCGAGAGCGTGCAGTACGATAAAATTTCGAGTGCGCAAAGTGACAATTGTCATGCGAGGCATAAAAATACGAACAGTGTTGTGCGCATAGAATTCAAGGACAATGTACAGAACAAGCCGAGGGAACCGACCACCACCGGTAGTAAAAGAACGAGGGAAGACAGCACGGATGATGTGGACGCTAAGGTCGCCCGTAACAGATGTTACAGTGACTCGAGCTCGACTACTAATTCGTCAGACGGTGGTAGGAAGCGCGTCGAGTTCGAGACGGATCCAATTGTTCTGGCACGCAGACAGAAGGAGATAGATTATGGGAAAAACACAATCGGATATGACAGATATATCCAGGCGGTACCTAAGTAAGTGCCAGTAGCGGTGGTAATAAGAAGGAATTGTTTCTGCAACTTGTTACCTGGTCAGATAAGAGTGGAATTTTATTACCACTTATCACTCACGTTTCAGAGATAAACGTACACGAGAACATCCGAGAACACCACCGAAATATATCAAATACAGCAGAAGAGGCTGGGACGGTATGGTGAAAATATGGCGGAAGCAACTTCACTCTTGGGATCCACCTCAAGAGGACAATAAAACCAATTGAATTAGACAATCTGTCAGAGAAACCGCTAAATCATTATTTTCTTTATTTATATCGTGATTGCGTTCCTTAATACCACTTCTTTCAGTTTCTTAATGCTCATTCATTGCATATTATTTCTAGTACTTGTTGGAATTTATATTGCATTTGAAAACGCAAGAGATCGCTTAGTAAATATGGAAATCAGTTAGTTTTTATTGTTTTTATGTACACAATATATATATATATATTTTATAACATAATTATGGGAAAGACCTATGTAAATGAACCTTGTATAACTGCCAATGTATATAATCATGTTAGGTTAAACAATAACCTAAAACTGATTTAATAACATTTGTACTGATACCGTATAGTCTTTATTTACATGATTAGCATAAAACCGATTTCATAATTTCCAATGTTGCTACCGGTGTGTTACGTATATAAAGAGACGTAACACAATGTAAGCATAGCCTTTGATCAAAAACGTCAGTAAATTAAGATTGGCTGAGAGGAAGTTCTCCACTTATTCGTAGTACTTCATAGAAATTTAAAAGGCTGATTGTGAAATGAAATCGTCGCATATCGCTCACATACATGGAAAATACGTAAGTGATATGCCTAGTTATAATAAACCTATAGTTATATTTTTATTTAAATTATTGTTTTTAGGTTTGTCATGTTAATATAGATTCTGGATGTTACTAAACCAATTTTAAGTTGTTGTGAACATAGTCTGTTTAAGAATACCTTTTGGAGCAAATTTTAGACTTCCATTGTATGTAAATTAAGATAAATGACTAATCATAATAAATAATAACTAATCTATCAAAGGTCAGAAGTACTATTAATATAAACTTGAAATTGTGCAATGTTTTATATATTTTTCTTACACAAAATCCGTCTATAGAAATGCATATAGAGTAACTTCTGATATATGTGTAAATAATATTAATGATATACTCACTCTCTAATACAAATAAAAATTTCGACTTATTTTATTAAAGAAATTTGAATTTCTGTGTTAAATTAAAAGATACATATTTCATTTACCTCATCTTATGTTTCTAAATCTTACTAAATTTTATTGGATATTGGATATAGTTTTTATATGTTATATGATTCTCTATTTACGTTATACAAATACACAAATTTATTTAAGTATCAAAAGTCAAGGTCAAAAGTTAACATTTACTTCAAATACGCAATTGTTTCCAGTTTTCGCAAAATGGCATCTAATTTCTGATTAGTAGTAACTTCCATCTCGTCCATCCTTTGCATCAATCTCTTTTCCATGTCATGAAATTTGTTGTCGATGTACATTTTGACATCTACATCCAATTTTTTAGAGTCATCCGCATGGCTTGAACTTTCTTTTTCATTATCTGTTTTCAAGATTCCATTTTTACACACGAAAGCGTTCGTCAGCGAGTCCAGAGTAAGAGTTTCCAGACTCCTCTGACAACACTGCTCATTGATTGTAATTTCTTCCACATTGAAACATTCGAGCATTTTCTTTGCCATGTCAGCTCCTCTGCGCGTCTTTTCTCCGTTTACATTGCTGAGAAAAGTCTGAATGACATCATAATTGAAGATGTCGGTTTTCGTGTCTTTTGGCGGATCTGTCAAAACGAGTCTCACACCGTATATCCACATTGTCGTGCCTTTATTTCTTGTTCTGGTAAACTAACATAGAAACGACGATTATTAGACACGAAAACAAACATATTTAAGCAGATAGCCATTTGTCTCACCTTAATACTAGCTTCGGTACTAGGAGGTTGTATAGCTGTTTCTGCCAAGTACACGGAATTATTCCTGAACTCGTCGATGAAATCCGCAAATATCGTTGTCTCATATTCGCCCGACTGCTTGAAGAACTCCAGGACGTTGGCCTCGGAGACGACAGCGATACGTGCTATTTTCTGGTGATTTTTCACTCTGATATCCAGCATACAAGGTTCAGCTGATTCTGACTCCGTCGGTTCCAGAGAGATACAGGTATCCAGGGTAACTATGTCCGCTAAGCTTATTCTGTACAGAAATTATATTCATTTAAAAATTATTAAAAAAATTACCACTTGTACATCAGATAATTAATCTCTCGGCTTGCTGGCTCACTTTTCAGACGCGTGCAACGGCGTGGTGGTGATGACGTGGTGAAATAGCTTGCCGTTAGTGACCCACCAGTTGCACGAGACATGTAGGAAGTCGCATTTCGCAGGGGGCGGTTTGTACGGCTTGCAAACATCGTCGGCGCTTGTCACATTCATGATTCTCGGTCGAACGGACGTGATCAACGGTCACCTCTTCGAGAACGGGAAATCTATCGCAGTTGTAGACGACTTTGCGAATTCGCCTACAACCATCCGCATTCTACAGTCCTCTTTGATTGATTCAACGAATGCCCTCCGATTATTTCGCTTATACCTCGCGATTTATCACTGATAATCACGATATGCCCTCAATCCGAGGCTCTCGTCGGCATTCGACGAAGCCGAACCATAACCTCAACATTCCCTCTCTCTCTCTCTCTCTCTGTCCAATAGATGGCGTAACCTGAACGCTGTTAGTTCCCCCCTTACACTTTCCGCACCTGAGACGCGCGAAGTGCAAGGAGGTGCAGTTGAAACGTACAGATTCTCTCTCCGCATCTCCCTTCCCCGCTCTTTCCACCAACTTAAATCGGACGATAGGTTCGCCTGATGGTGGGGGTTCGAATCGAGTGGCTGAGCAGGAGCATCGGCTCCGGTATCGGACAGTATTGAGCTGCTCGCCCGGTACGTATCGCGAGTCTCTTTCTGGTCAACGGTTCTTGCGATCCAGGAGACATGTCCAAGTACAAAATCGTGATGGTCCGCCACGGCGAGAGCGAGTGGAATAAGTTGAACCTCTTCTGCGGATGGTACGACGCCGGTCTGTCAGACAAGGGTGAGTGTGTCCCGGGTGTCATCGGTCGCGCCTATCGCGTCCGCCGCTCAAGGGCAAAAAGGTCGCGTCATCGCGATCTTTCTCGAGATTCTCCCGAGATTTGAATGGCATCGTTGATGGTGATCGCACGTTCGCAAATAGCTTGCCGTGTATCGTCGAGAGCTTCGGGGAGCGTGTCTAAAGGCACGAAAGATAAAAGATACTCAAGATATCATCCCGGTTATCTCACATTAACACGAGGATCACTCGGTTCTCCTCATTCGGGCTTGTCTCGCAGGCAAAAACGAAGCTGTGTCCGCGGGGAAGGCTCTCAAGGATGCCGGGTACATCTTCGACGTGGCTCACACCTCGGTGCTCACCAGAGCGCAGGAGACCCTCCGGTCGATATTGAAGGAGATCGGCCAGGAGGATCTGCCCGTGCAGAAAACGTGGCGCTTGAACGAACGGCATTACGGCGGTCTCACCGGCATGAACAAAGCGGAGACGGCCGCCAAGTACGGCGAGGAACAGGTGCAGATCTGGAGAAGGTCGTTCGACGTGCCACCGCCGCCGATAGAAGCGGATCATAAGTATTACGAGACGATAGTGAAGGATCCGCGCTACGCCGACGGGCCTAAGCCCGAGGAATTCCCCAAGTTCGAGTCTCTCAAGTTGACTATCGAGAGAACGTTGCCCTATTGGAACGAGACGATCATCCCACAATTGAAGGAGGGCAAGAAGATCATCATAGCAGCCCATGGGAACAGCTTGCGCGGCATAGTGAAGCACTTGGATCGTAAGAAACCTTAGCAACCTTCGTCGACAGTTGACACATCTACTGTTTCATCCGGTCGTCGTGTAATTTTTCAATTTTTCATCTTTCTACCCGTAGAAATGTCCAATGACCAGATCATGGGGCTGAATCTGCCGACCGGTATCCCGTTCGTGTACGAACTGGACGAGAACTTCAAGCCCGTTGTCTCCATGAAGTTCCTGGGTGACGAGGAGACCGTGAAAGCGGCAATGGCTGCCGTTGCCGCGCAGGGGAAAGCTAAATAAATGTTGACGTTGGATGTGTGCGTATCAATCTGCAAGGGACAAACCTATCATATGAAGTGTTATGAGTATTTATTTCACGATGAATCACGAGACCGAACTGAGTCGTTATTACGAATGTAATTCAAGGAAGAACGGTAGAGACGTTCTTCCTTGAAGGGGCATCCTTGTGAAAATTGAGAAAAATATATATAAAAATAGTTTCGTAAACTGTGTACAGATGATAGTCTCTCTGTGAACGTCCCGTGTTTTCGAGAGTGGAATGTCTAGGACATTCGTCTGGGTCACCTTCACGTCAGGACGATGTGATTCGATTTTTGTGAAATGCTGCACTGTAAAATTCACTCGTGTATCTGATAGATAACTCATGGACGGTATTCGTAGTCCGATGTTACAGAAAAGCTCGTCAAGAGCTTTATCTTACCACGTGTAACTAGTAAAACGGTCTTCATGATATCTGAGGGTGAATTTACCACGATTTTAAATATAAAGTTCGAAATGCAGCAAAGGTTTTCACTATTCCTCTATTTTTCGAATGTACGAAGTTCAGGTATTGTTTTTAGACCGTCTTCCGCGTGGGTTTTTTCTTCTCTCTCTCGACCTTTCTCTTTGACTTTGTCGGTTCTAGCGTCCACTTAGCAGGTAGGGCGCACTAAATTTCGAAGCACGACGTCTTTCGATGAGCACAGTTTTATCCGCGCGTTGTAAGTTCTGTATTCGTGACATACAGTGAGGTGATAATAAAAAAATAACAAGAGATGTCACATTCGGATTATCTTCAAGAGGAATTAACGATAGTTCTGTTGGGTGAATCGGGGGTGGGAAAGACCAAGCTTGTGATTCGATATCTCGTTGACGTGTTGAAAGAAACCAAAACAGAATGGGACGTAAGTATATCTTTGCTACCATATAGAGAGAGAGAGAGAGAGAGCACGTGCGTTTCTACCGGCGAAAAACTAAACGAAAAATCCACGACCGACGCTGCTAAGAGAACGAAACTTTGTTACACTTCACGCACTTCGGGAAGAATAAAGAGTACAAATTCAATTTTTTCGAATCGAAAATTGCATCCATGGCCCGTTGACGTCGTGCAGGTGGTCGCTTCTCGCTCTTCTTCAACGTGTGAAAAAGATAAGACCCTCTCATAAAACAAAGAAAGGACATGTATCGCGTTATAGCTCCGTCTCACTCCTGTCTATTTCGCGCAAGCGCATTGAATAGAATTTCGTGCGCGTGCAAATTTAAAAGGAAAAAAACATTTCGGCTCTCTTCGATCTTCAAGTAACGTTGGTTGCCGTTTTTCTTAATAGTAAACGTTCTGGAAGTAAAAATTATGATAGACAACAATTCTTTTTTTATTTGCACTGAAAACCGCCTATAACACGAGAGTGTACCATATGTACATCAATTAATATCGTTATAACGTTTACACATTGCAGTCGGCAATGGGTGCTGTACACGTAAAAAGAACAATGCAAGTTGATGGGGTGTCATTCAACATGGTAATATGGGACACATCGGGCGATAAGAAGTAACAAATTTATTATTACCTATCGTATTTTTGAGCTTAACCTTTTCGAGCGCTCGTATCCCAGGTAGTAGCACAGTTAGTTTCGTACACGCTCTTCAAACGTGTATAATATAAATCATTAATATAAATCATAATACAAATCACATGAAACGTTACACGTTTAAAGAATATATACATGAAACTAACATGTGCTACTACCTGGAATGACGCATACTATATATACATACACACTACGCCTCGGACACGCTGTTAATCAAGAAGTACGCATCGGCCAATTGCACGTGATAATTTTTATTTACATTTTATTCGCTAGGTACGACTCAATGGCTGCGATGTATTATTTGGGTCGGACAGCTGTCATAATCTGTTGCGACATTTCTAATTCATATTCCTTCGTGAAGGCTAAAGATTGGGCGCTACAACTTACAATCCATTCCTGTAAGATCTATCTGTGCGCCACTAAAAACGATTTATGCGACGAGATTGAAACGGCGACTTTAAATAACATTCAAGAATACGCGGAGAATATAAAGGCTAAATTCTTTGTAACATCTAGTCATACAGGAGAGAACATTTGTAAGAAATATTTTAAAATTTAATGCTCTCTAATAAAATGCATATATATATATATATATATATATATATATATATATATATATATATATATATATATATATATATATATATATATATATATATATATATATATATATATATATATATATATATATATATATATATATATATATATATATATATATATATATATATATATATATATATATATATATATATATATATATATATATATATATATATATATATATATATATATATATATATATATATATATATATATATATATATATATATATATATATATATATATATATATATATATATATATATATATATATATATATATATATATATATATATATATATATATATATATATATATATATATATATATATATATATATATATATATATATATATATATATATATATATATATATATATATATATATATATATATATATATATATATATATATATATATATATATATATATATATATATATATATATATATATATATATATATATATATATATATATATATATATATATATATATATATATATATATATATATATATATATATATATATATATATATATATATATATATATATATATATATATATATATATATTTATATACATATTTATATTTATACAGGCATGTATATTTATTCGTGTGTCTTCTTTATAGCTGAGTTGTTCCATACAATTATAGAAGATTTCATATCAGCACCATGCAATCGGAAAGAGATAAAGAAACAAAAGCGCAGAAGGAAACACGTTAATTTGAGGTGTTTCTGGAATTATCAAAGGCCTAAAACTGAAATATAAAATAAACCATTAACTTTTCCGGATTCTGTTATCGCACCTAGGCTTAATGAAATCAATAATGATATTCGTAATCTTTTATTCTTTTATCGGGTCATAGTTGCAAACAATTATGATTAGAATATGGGATATGTTTTTATATTTTCATTTTCATTGCTGAAAGCCAGAATATATTTTCGGTTTTTTTCGATATTGGTCATAAATTTTGTATCCATGATTTCGTTAACACTGCATAGCATATATGAATATATGCGACTACGTAAGATTGTAAATAGTATTGATAGCAGTTAGTATCTACAAAAAGAGATATTATGCATGTAAGACATTGTATAATTAAAACAGAATGCGTATACACAAATGAGAGACGTGCGTGCATGTATCTTGCTTTTATTTAGTTTTGATATTCTTAAGTCAGGGTTCATAATAAGTGTAATAAGTCTTTAGCCTTTTGTTCTAAGCACCAAATTGTAAGGTATAGACATCGGTATATTAAATTTTAAACCTCGAACTTGAAATTTGTCGCTAAATACAACAGCTGTCATTTATAGATTAGACCATTCTGAACAAAAAAGTCATTTTGCAAATAACACGCAAATTTTCGAATTATTAATTAAAGAAACCTCTTACACGGCCATTTTCATGAATAACTCGAAATTTTGCATGTTGTTTGCAAAATAGTACAGGACTCTTTTATTCACCTCAATCCGGTCTACGTCCTCACGAAATTTGTGAATGTTGTTCTAAGATCCCCATATACTACGGAAAATATTCTCAATATATTACGTATACCTGTAGTACAAAAATAGTATGTACATATGAATATTATGTCACTTAAGAAATTGACCAATTATAATCGAATTATAGAAGAATAATCAATTGTGATTGGACGATTTTTTAAGGCTTAAAACTTTATAATAGACCTAGCCTAACTTTGAATCTTCTGACCCAAGATTTAGAGACTTTAAATCCTGGCACATTTTCCTCCTTTTGTGCTTGAGAAGCCCATTGAGCGATGTCAATATCACGAATAGTAATTCCTTTTTCCTGCGCTTCATTAAAACAGTTTAACGTGTATACAGTAATTCTATTTAATTTCTCCAATCTACTACCGCCTTTATCGATTTGGACCTTCCATCGTCGCAATTGTTGCGCCGACGTGACTTTTCTAAACCTGTGTCTAACTGATTCAAGCGATCTTGGTTTTCTTTTACTGCTCTTCCAATATTCCACAGCTTGCTTTTTATAGTCACTTGATACCAGTTCAACAGAATTAGAATGTTCTTCTGGTAAATATTCTTTATCTTTATCTTCCTCTGATAAATAGATTTTTCTCACTTTTGAAGCCTTACGTATATTGTAAAAATATAAAGTTTCTTCCTTCTTTTCCAGTTGAGATTCTTTTTCATTTACTTCCTGTGTCAGACATTTCTCTAACAAATCCACTTTTCCCGTTTCTGGAATCTCACATGTATTGTGAAAATGTAAATCTTCTTCCTCTTCTATTTGAAGTTCTTTTTCGTATTTTATTTCCTGTGTCATATACTCCACTAATAAATCAGTTTTTTTCACTTTTGAGGTCTCATATGCATTATAAAAACATAGAGCTTCCTTCTCTCCTGGTTGAAATTCTTTTTCGACTTTTATTTCCCGCGTCATACATTCATCTAATAAATCCATTTTTTTCCACTTCTGAGACCTCAGAATCACTGTAAAAAATGTAAAATTTCTTCCTCTTTTTTGATGAAATTCTTGATAGTTTTTTTCCCCCTATGTCGTTCAATTTTTTCTTCTACTTATATTCCCCTCGAAGTTATCGAATTTTTGCGTAGGTCGAAAGTGGTGAAAGTTATACATAGATTAATATTATTACGTTGTATGGTAAAATTACATCATTCTGAAAAAATATAAAAATTAAGTATTTGTCTAACTTTGTTTACATAAGAAATAATACACTTTATAATTAATGAGTGGTTTCCTATGTTAGTTCGCTTCTTTGTCTTCTCTCTTCCTTGATATGACCAAAATATGCAGTAAATCAAATGATCAAAACGGAATAATATTCCTGCGTTTTGTGTGTCGTAATAATAAGAAAAAAGCTGTACAAAATAGTGAAATAGCCTTGAAATTCAGAAAGTTGAAACAAAATGAAGAAACAGAAAAAAATGTAAAAACTTATTAAAGAAAGATGAGAACGATGAGATAAGAAAAATCACTGATTACCATTAACCCATATTCCTCACTTCTCACAGCCATTTTAACCTCTTATAAACTGGAATACTGGAATGACGGCCGAACTTCGATGGAAAAGCGCCCTCATCTAAGAGAAGTTAAAAATGTCGGTAATTTCTTGACATTTTTGTTATAATATTGGAGTATGTTTAAATGATTTCAGTTTATCTTCAAATCCTGTGCGGTTCATTTCATTCGCTACGTAACATCGGAAAATGACTTAAGACAATCATAATGTAAGATTCGATTATGAATAGTGGCTTAAGCTACGGATATTCATAGCGCCTTCAGCCAATCAGCGCGCGATCAGATATTCAGGAAAGTATAAAGATATATTTCCGATAACCATATTATGATGATTTCTCTTTTTTACTAATGTTAGATATTTATTAATATACTCTTTTATTAAATTTTTTTTAAAACAAAACGACCACAGGATCCTCTTAACCGCTGCTGCATCTCGCTCCGATTTTTCGTATATTGTTACATTAGTACGAATAAAAGTTACATCATTAATAATTCGATAAACTTTGGTAATTCCATTAATATCAAAGCGTATGACAAGCGTAAGAAAAAGATAAAAGTTAACAATAAACACATGTTTACAAAGTGATATTGCACAACACACGGTTCTTTATATTATCAACTTACGAGATAAAATGCAAACTTCCCGACACTACGAACGCTTAATTGATCATATATTATGTAATACTAGCGAGTAATTTATTTTTTATAAGCATGACGTTCCAATTATTCAATAATTTATGCGCAAGACGATCCAGAAAGTCTATTCGTGTGCGTGAACTTTGGTTATGATATACTTCAGCGAACTATTTTTAACACAAGCTCACCTTACTTTACAAACTTGACACATGCCTACATGCACACGACCCTTCTACAGAGCTTCTAAAAGAAGAGAGACGCCAACAGTATCGTGTGACTACTATTCTATTGGTCTGTTCTTTTTAGCTGAATTGGCTGGCACTAGTTTTATCTTTCTCTTAAGTCTTAAAAATTGACCAATCACAGTCGAATGCAAGGAAAAAGATCGACCAATAAAGTTCAAATGACGCTGCAATGATCCGTACGGTGCTCCAAAGCGCTTGCAGCGTTAGTGGAACCTTGTTTTCGTATACGAAACTAAAACTAATCGCACAAATTTAAAAATTGGGCCCTTTACTCGACAAGCGTGATATGTGATATCCAATGAACACACAGCTTTCCCGAAAAAACTCTACGATCAAAATATGAGATATAACTTTGTGTATTGTTAAGGGCCACAGTATCTTTTTCAAATCCTTTGATAGTTACAAATTTAATATCTATTATCTTATTACCGCATAACATATATGAATATGTAAGATTGTAAATAGCATTAATAACAATTAGTACCTCCAAAAAGATATATGTATGAAGTCTTTTGTATATAATTAAAACAGAGTGAATCTATTATGTGTGTGTGTGTGTGCGTGCATGTGCATGTGTTTTGTCTTTATTTAGCTTTAACCCTTTCGGTACTACTGCCGCCCATTGGCGGCGGCCATGAAACGTTCTCTGGGTACTACCGTCGCCTATTGGCCTACTGAGCTTACGCTGCCGTATAGTACAACCACTCTTGTGGAAAACTTCCTCGTACCACGAATATGTAACCGCGGCCAGCTCCACCGTACCGAAAGGATTAATATTAATAGTAACAAGAAACGTGCTTTCTCTCTATCTCTCTTTCAAATTTGTATTTCGAAGCAGAGGTTTGTACTTATTATTATATAGGAACGTAAAACCTTTCTATAATACTGCGTACAATTCTAATACTTCTATCATTCTTGAAGAAATCGAAAAGTAATAGATATAAATATTAAGTAATAAATATAAAAATTTCGATTTTATCTTGAATTCTCACCTTTCGAAGTAAAATCTTAGCAGAACATATATTTACGCGATATCCCAACTGTAAGAATGTGTACAAATACACATTCGCAAAAATTTATTAGAATTTTAGTACAATAAAAATTTTTTTTTTTTTTAATTCAATGACCTATCGAAACGACTATTGCGTAAAATAGGATATACAAAGTTCCCGGGCTTTCTCGTAAACACCGAAGAATATAAATCCGCCAATGGTAAAGCCGGTTACTCTTGGGGTGAAGCCAGCGAACAACCTAAAAAATCGCTCTCCTTCGTTAGAATATCAAAGCTAAATTCAAATCGAAAAATACGAATTTCCAATTCTCACCCTTTAGCGCCGTTGTCTCTGTAAACTTCTTTTAACATCATCGATATCTTAACTTCCTCCTTCTCCGCCGATGTGCTGGACAACATGATTCTAGTTTTCGCGACGTCCAACGGTGTTGTTATGGCAGCCGATATGGCAACTGGAATCGAAGCAATTAGACGCAATATTGTCAAAACAATCGCTTACATCTGAACGTAACTACGACCAAGCGATTGGTATTCGAGCTCTGAAGTTATCACCTGACGCGGCACCGCAAGTGGCACCCTCCAAAGGCGAGCATTCCCGATGTATCTGCCGGGTCCAGCAAAGCTTGAAGTATTCCCACAATGGCATTTGAATCAAGCCAAATGGCATATCACGAAGAACAGTGCTCCCGTAACCGCGATATAGCGTTCTTAATGCTAATCGATGCGTGTCCGCCAGCAGTGCCTGTTTTCTTTGTTTAACTACTTCCACTGGCACCCGTACTAAACAAGCTGTCTGAAGCACACGAAGTCGTATAATCAGTCTATGCTATCATCAAGCGTACTGACAGCTGTACAAATCGTAACTTATGATTTCTTTTTTTTCTCCTTATTTAACATGGAAAATTTATATATACAGAATGAATATATAAATCTTGTCAAGGCTGTAAGTTACATACATATGAACCAAGGCAAATAAGAGCCAACTGCTGTTATTAGCAGATAAATTTTTATGTCTATACTATAAATATGCCAAAGGATCGGACATTCCGGTTCCGTTTATAGACTCTTTTTAGAATATAACTCGAATAAAAGCAGAATACAGAAAATTTTCGATTTTCTTAAACTACGGAACTGAGAGCATTATTTTTAATTTTACTCTTGCTTGCGTTGCATTCACTGAAAAAGATCCAAAAATAGACCGAAGCCATTTAATCTTCCTCGCATATTTATAGCGCAAAAAGACAAAAAATTATCACACGTTAGTAACAATAGCTGGCTCTTGTTTGCTTTCGTTCCTCAAAAAGAGCACAGTGCCGAAATCACTACTTACAACTTCGGAGGATGATGCTGCGATCATATGTATAATGGAGTGATACTGATCTGGTATGTGTGGTTGCGAATATTGTTTTATTCCTTCATAAGTAATGAAAAATATAGCAGCTGCAACAGCAACATTCAATAATGAAAATAGAACGTGCTGTATGACGAGATTATTAATCTCGTACTGGATGATGCAATAACACATACCTGATGGTGCAGAACCCAGGATGACAGGTCCAACGCCTTTGTACAACTGTTTAAAGCCTCCGGATTGGAAAAACCCATGCTGGCTCTGCAACCGTGTCTTGAGGGTGTCCAGCGGGAAGAGTGTCACGTCACAAAGGATTCCTGCAAGAGCACCTGACTGACATTAAATATCGATTATTTTTCCATTTTTTCACATCAAATTCTTAGTTTCATGTATCCCGTGTATTTTAAGGATGTCTCGGACAACAATGAAACGAAAAGTCAGGTAACACACGCGACTCAACTAATTCATGATAATTCATTCAGTATAACAGTGTATGCGCGAAATATGTGAAATTTATCAGCTTTATTTACTCAATGACTTACACCCGATAAGCAGTCGATTAATATACACACAACTATCGCGAGTGATAGCAAACACCGGGTTAAAATCAGACGGCCAATAAATGTTGACGAAATGAGGACGATGCGGGAACGATACTTACGACGAACGATGTGAGCAGGACATCGCTCTTCGAGAGGATCGCCGACTCCTCCGGCTCGTGAAACATCTCTGCGCGACGAAACGCCTCTCCGTCACCGTTCGATCCAGCGACCCGATCGAGGGCGTTGAAATTTTAAAAGCAGCTATGAAGTTACTTGGCAACGTCATCGAGCTGATAACGAGGAAAAATGTCTCTAATTAGATGGTTATCTCGCGTTAACCCACTGAGAGCAGGTTTCCCGACCCGGGGAAATATTTGCGAGCATGATATGACAACTGGTGTGCGTCTCGACGGTGTTTTCACTTCGCATGGAGTACACACTTCGGTGTCTCACGGGCCTCCCGCGAAATATTGACAAATCATAATTATTAAAAAAAAAAAGGAAGAAAAAGACACGCGAAACCGGTGCTAACCGGTTGCGAGAACACGTGCGGAGCGTACACAAGTGTGTACGTTATGTAAACGCGTGAATCATCGACGTCGTCTGCTTCGACCTAACCTCCAAGATCCGTCAAAACGCGCGCACACACACACACACACACACCTCGGCACACGTGTTCTCAAGATGGAGCTTTTTTGCTGCTTTTTGCACTCGGTAATTCGCAGGGAAGCGCCAGACAGGGGCGGATCGAGTTCGAGATAGAGGGAGAGAGAGAGAGAGAGAGAGGGATAACACACGGCTACTTTCACGTCGGATGCGCGATTGGTCGGTACGTTACAAATCGCGGCTGTATGCACACCTCGCTTGCAGGAGAGCGAATTTGCTCTTTGGTAATTTTCCACGAGATTAATCCTCTCATTGGATATCGGAGGCGTCAAAAATCCTTACAGCTACCCGCCATTCGCCGGGTCTCGTTTGAATCGGCCTTTAAACCCGAGGCGAGTCCGCGCTTGCGTCGCCCACCCCCGTTTTCGCGCATGCGCGACGGAGGGCACGAACAGCGCGAACGCACCGAGGTTGTCGGGATGTCGAGTGAGAAGGCGCGACACTGAAGGAGGAGGAAAAGGAGGCGGACGACGACGACGAAGGGGAGTCTCGTGAGAGCGATGCCGCGGCGACGGTGGACGCGGTAGTAAAGCAATCCCCCGCGGGAGCCCTGGCTACCGGGATACGATGCGCCGCGATGCTAGTCGATTCCTCCGACATTCCGCGGGAATACGGTGAGACACGACGACGACACGGTTGCTCGGTCTAACGGCGGGAGGAGCGAGATATACCTGGAGCGCACTTGTCGTCCCCGTTCATCGTCACGAGATCGATTGATCCTTCCTGCAGGCAGGTACATAAGCGACATATTCCCGAGGGGGAAACGGGAGTCGGCGGCGCAGGTGAAAACCGATCGGCAGGGGGACGGCAGGAAGGACGAGCACATGATACGCGTAATCGTCGCAGGTCGCGCATGCTGGTGGGGAATTTCACTGCGAGCGAGCGCGCATGCACGTTTGTCGGATGCGGAACGCAAAAATCGCGCGCCCGAGATATCCGCAGAGAAACACAGATTACGAGTCTATCTATCGCGATCCAGCCCGGAAGATAAAGGAAGCGCAGCCGGGCATCGGTGCGGCGGCAGCGGAGGAAAGTTTCGCTCCTGACTCGCTTGACCTGCGCTCTAACGAATTCTAACCGACGCCCTCCCCCCCCTCCCACCCCCGACGACGTCAACTCGACCGGGATCAAATAATAACAAATAAGTCGCAAATATGCGTCACTACAATTGCGAGAGCTTACCACTTACGTGGCCGTTCGACCGTTGGCGTGACTGATAAACAAAACGGCTTTCGAAGACTAACGGCTTTATACNGCTTGCGAAGACTAACGGCTTTATACGATAAGTAAGGATGCTTGAGACTAATGGTACAAATGAGATGAGAGAGCCGTCGAACGCGACCGATGTTACCGATTCTATTTTGTACAACACCGTGTCGGCCGGCGACCTCGGGGCCACGGTGGTACCCGCGAGCATGGCGAGCGCCTACAACGAGACGTCCACGGCGTACGCGGAGCTGGCGCAGGAGAGCGACAACAATCAACGCGTGTGGAATCTGTCGAGGACCGCCGTGACGTCGTTGATCGAGCCGACCACGATACCGTTCGATACGTCGGGAGGTACCACCACAATGCACACACCGACCACAACCTCCGACTCCTTCGACGAGTTCGGCCCGCCCGAAGGAGTGGAGTACATTTTCGTGCCACTCGGTGTGGTGGTGTCGGTTATAATACTATCAGCAGTGGTATGGGTAGCGATATCACTTTTGTCATTACCTCGTGACGTTTTTCTTCCCCCTCCCCCCTCTCTGTTTTTGTTTTTCAGGTGCAAGTGCAAGTATAAATGCTAGAGAGAATGAGAGAGAGAGAGAGAGAGAGAGAGAAAGAATACGTGTATATAAGATATATATATATATATATATATATCATTCCGAGTACATACATGTATCCGCTTCTCTATGTCGAAGACCGCAATCTTGTTGTCTCGTGTACAAAACTAATATAATGATGGTTATATGACGGCAAATTTTTTCTTTTTAGCAAACGCTTCGAATCCCACTGTTTTTTGTTAGGCACAACCGCGGTTTTCAAAGGCTCTGATATCCGATTCTGTCTTCTGAAGGTACTAATTATATCGAGGAAGCGGAAGTTGGAGCGTCTAAGACACAGACTCATGCCGATGTACAACTTCGACCCCGGGGAAGAGGAGGAGGACGACTGGGAGACCGAGCTGCTGGACGAGTGCTACAGTACACATCAGAGACGAGTGTGTAAGATTGCTTTAACCCTGTAAGCCCTGTGGGCGGTTGCCTCGAGAAATAAGAAACAATTGATTTTACAGCAAGGATACCAATCCATGGATACCGAGGAAAATGCTGAACTGTTCAGCGGTCACTAATAGGCACACACACACACACACACTTTTAAATAGCCACCCTTTCATCATACTTTATACGCCATAAATTTATCGATGTCCTTTAATTATTTATTGTAATTTTTATACTTGAAACTGGGCTCTCAATTCTAACGGGACTCACGGGCCCTAATCACCGCACAAGAGCTACATGTTTACTTATACAGATTCCTGAAAGTTCAAGTTTCCGATAAACGTAAGCGGTATTTACATTAGACATATCTACGTATTCGTGTGTACTTGACAATTCCACTTACCACAAACTAGTTCTCTGTAGTCGTTTCGTTTGCGCGTCGACTTCGATCTCGCCAATTATTTTATCGAAATTGGATTGCATCTTACAAGCGTTAACAAACTTTTATCAAGTAAAAGTAAGTCAGGTAAAATATGTATATATTATAAAACAGACGATCATTCTATACAAACACACATACATATACACTCTGATCTCTGCGCGAACAATTTCCTAATAGAAAATATAAATATAAAATTTTTCACAACTTCATTATTTGTGTAGCCCCATTTTATCACATTCACATATCCTCTTGCATCACTTCTCTATCTCTCTTTCTTTTAAGTTGCCCTTTCATTTAAACTTTCCCTCCTTTAGGTCAACTGAATCCTGATATCTCGCACGAAGTGTTGTCATACAAACTTCGTAACGACGCATACTCCAAGAGACATATCTCATTAGGTGTTAAAAAAAAAATCCGGGAAAATGCGTACGCGAAAAACTTAATAAGAGTACTTTGAGTTTATTTACTTTAATACAAATTTGACATTCACACATATGCTTGCCTCAAAAATGACACTAATATACACATATTCATGTTTAATTAGAAAAGAATAGTCCCTGCATGTGTTACATATACAGTAGTGTTTTTAACATTTTTTTGTCTGTTTACATTTTTTCTAGCTCTTACAATATTAGATCGGTATGGAAGTTTTTTGGCTTCGTGAATTGTAATACACATATGTAGGAGAAAAGGAGGTAGCAAATATGTGACACAATACTATACCGTGTGTGTGTGTGTGTGTGTGTGTGTATGTGTGTGAGATATTACAGGCTATTTTATTTAAAAAAGTTTATCAAATCTTCCTTGTAAATCAAATGAACGAAGAAAAAAAAAAGGGAAAGTTTTGAGATCTGCATCATACAATCCAGTCTTTTGCTGTCAATGATAGTTACACATGTAGTCTTACCACTTAAAAGTATGATCATTAATCATTATTAATAATAGCAATGTCAAAGAAATACAAAAGAACTTAATAAATTTATAACACAACTTTCGTATCCAACGCTCTTCCTTCAGTTTTACTGAATTGAGAATTAGAATTTCTATAGGGGAAAACCGGTAATCGGCGAAAGAAATACGTCTACCGTCATCAACGCATTTTACTGCATTTCGAAACCTCGCTCGAAAATTACCGAATTACAATGGAAAGTGCAAACGGAACTGAACTTTGATCAACTGGTTTAGTTTTTCTTTTTCTCTCAAGAAGGACCTTCGAAGGATAAGTCAGATGTGTTAGTTTCATCCTCCCCTATTGCATCCTCGACCGCTTCAATTCTCCTCTTCTTCCTCCTCCTCTTCTTGATCGTCTTCATCATCACCGGTGATTTCGGGTTTCTCTTCTGTCTTTTTTGGTCTACCGCGACCGCGTGGCGCGGTAGTGGTGCCTTTTGGTGGTCCTTGCTGTAAGTTTCACTTGATTAGTGACAATAAATCGGTGTTATGTGCACAGATATAATCGTAGAATTTACTTGTTTTTCTAATATATATATATATATATATATATATATATATATATGATTTCTTTCTAATATCTAAATTTTCAACTTCGTTCAAGCGCCAAGTACCTTCTTCTTGTGAGAGCCCTTAGGTCGACCCCTTCCTTTTTTAACAGGTCCAGGTGGTGCGTCATCCTCGTTGTCGGATTTTGCCGGACGTACCGCATTATTTTTTTCTACAGCGGATCTTCCCCTCTTCTTGGGCTCCTTGACTGCGTTCTTGTCTGCTTTGGCAGGCCTGCCTCTCTTCTTCTTTTGCTCTTCCATTACGGGCGAATTGTCATCCGACATATTTATTGTCTTGATTTACTGTGGAATTTAGAACGACATTGTAGGAGAAGCCAGCTAGAGGAGAGGAGATTGATCAATTATGTCAGCTATTCGGCGACGATCTTTCTTTTTCCTTCCGCGTTTCTCAACGTTCTTTGCCGACTCTACCGCGTTATACGTGCGCACTTGTCACTCTGTTTACCATCTGTCTCATCTAGATCTCGCCTGTCTTATATACGCAAGATAAGGGACAAGTTCGTGACACTTTTATCATATGCTGTTTTAGATCCTCGGTTCCCTTACGTTTAAATTTAAGGAATCCCAAAAGGCTCTCTCTCTCTCTCTTTCGCGTGGGACACACGAAACTCCTACAACTACTGATATCACTCTTTTCTCTCGCATGTCTCCGCAACATCAAGAAGGGACTTTAAACGGTTGCCTGTCTTTTTTCAGGTTGTGTCATCTCCGATGAGGTGAACCGTGAGGGAAAACGGCTATGTGAGGAAACTACTGATTTATTTGTAACGCGTGAGCGTGTATACGGTGTGCAGTTGACACGATAATAGAGCCTACTCAATGTTTTCCATCGAGGTACCGAGAAAAGACTCCCTGTGCATTCTGTCGAATATCTCCAACTCTAGTGCCACATATATACATATATATACACACACATATATATATATATATATACATATATCAATAAAAAATATAACAAGTGTGTAGAGCGCGACTATAGATATATACATACATAGCGCAAAGTATACATGTGAAATACGTGTCTCCAATATATGAACATGAGCTGCGTGTAAGAGCACTCAACACACCCACACAGAGAGAGATGATCCAAGCCCGTGTACGTGTATCGTCGAGTCGTAATAAACAAGAATCCCCGAGTCTCCCGAGGCGGGAAAACCGAGAGGGAGTGAGGAAAATAATCGGAGCTAAACGTGGCTATCGATCTTCCGATATTTTCTTCTCTCGCTCGGCCGTTGTCTCTCGCGCGTTTCAAATTATCGGGGATCGCGCGAAGGAGGAGCGAAGGAGAAAGAGAGAGAGAGAGAGGACGAGCGACACACATAGGATGGTAGCACGATAGAAACGCGCAAACGCGCCGCGAAAATCAGTACTGTCAATTATGCGTCTCGGCCACGGACGGGAGACACACCACGCGCGTACACGCCGTGTAATTTGCGCCGTGAAACGGTAATTCACCGTTGCCGCCGCCGTCGTCGCAGCAGCGCGCGCGCGATATAGCGGATATGCGCCGCCGTGTCGAAGCGGAACTAACTTATTCATCGGCGGTTAATTTATTCCGTGTCGTCAGCCGCAAGGATAGCCGGGTCGTGACCGGATCAATCGGCGCGATCGACGGTGCCGGTGTCTCTCTCGCGCGCGCTCCCGTCGTCGTTCGCGACGCGAAGCGGTGGTGCTCCGAAAGTACCGCGCCCGCCATTTTCAAAATTCGCCACAGCCGCATCCATCGGCGTGGACGGCGAGAAGCCGCCGCGGGCGGAGTCGTTCGTTCGCGGATGACAGAAGCCGGCGAAGCTTCGAGGAGCGTCGATTTTTCACGGCGGATTTCCCGACAAGCGACCGCTCGAATCGCCCCGGGCGACTCGCCGAGCGCGAAGGAGGACGCGAACCGTTCATGACGGGGGGACGCCATGAGACCGAGAGAGGAGGCGCGAATCATGGCGTCCAAAGCGACTGCCTCCGCGGCGGCGGTGTCTTCTCCCCCCGTGTCGTTTCACGGTGTCTCGCGATATCTCTGCAAGTAAGGTCGCGACGGGGCCGCCGCCGGCGCGGAAAAATCCGCCGCGGTACGGCCGAGCGGTCGGCGGGCGTTCCGTCGCGCGCGCTTTCCGCCCAAATAAATCGCGGCTCGCGAAATTTAATATCGGAGCGACGCGGCGCGGAAGAACGACCGCCGCTCGGATGGAGAGATTACGTTTTACCCACGCGCGCACTCACTCACTTCGAGCACTAACCCGGGCACACTCTCTCTCTCACACTCCACTACTCACCTCGGCTTACTCGCGGCTCGCTCCGTTCCCGTCGCGCCTGTGAGACAAAGGGTAGAGAGATATCGCGCGTTCCTTTACGCCCGCCGGTTGCGCGCGTCGTGGCGTGGTGGCGGTGCCGTGTCGTCGCGTCACACGTCGCGCTATAACGGTCTCTCTCTCTCTCTTTCTCGCACGTCTTATCTCGGGATGCTGCGAGGAGAGAGCTTAACTCCGCTCTCCGCTCTGGCGTGCCGCTCGCTCGCTCGCTTTCGTTTGTTGGCGCGCGCGCGCGCGCTCGCTGGCCCACTCGCTCGCTCGTACGTGCACTCGGCACGCTTGGCTCCACTCTCGCTAGCTTCGCCGCCGTGCCGCGTATATTATAGCAGGCGCCGCTGTGCGCCTCCGCGCATTCACACGTACGCGCGAGCGAGCGCGCGCGCGACCACTCGTGTACGCAGCGCCGCGCAACCTCCTCTCTCTCTCCCTCCGGTCGCGCGTATCGGTGACTCGGCCGGCCGGCGACGCTTGTCCGCTCGCGAAACAACCGCCGCGTTTCCTCGCCGCGTTTCCGCGCCGACAGCCGCCGAGCGTTGCTACGAGGACGGCTCACCCGCAAAATAGCGCGCTCTCCCTCTCTCTCTCTCCCACTCGTCGCCAAGTCGAATCGTTAGTACGCTTGCGACTTCCACGCGCTTCGCGCATACTCAGACGCATGTACATGCACACATGCATACACGCACCATGCATACGTGATACTGGCGTATCCACGGACAACTTACCGCGAAGATAACGTGTCGTGACTGACCGACGACGATGCACTGCGTCGCGATTCATCGAACCACGGCCGCCGGTCTAAGGACTTCTCCCTCCACCACCGACCGGCCCGAGCGCGCCATTGAGTTCCCGCCAAAAGATCTCGCGGCGGTATCGAAATATTGTTGTTGTTTTGGTCGCCTGCGACGCCGCCCGGATCGTAGCGGGACGACGACTACGGCGGCTCGTAAATCGTTCTATCTCTCTCTCTCTCTCTCTCTCCCTCCCTTCTTTTTCTCTATCTTCCTCTCTCTCTTTTCTCGCCAACCGGCGGCAAGAAGGAAGGATCGGGCGGGAATTCTGCGCGCGGAGAATCAAGCGCGATCGGCGACGCAATTTGGCGCGACGCGCGCGCACACACAATGGTGGCGTGCTGCGTCCGCCGACGGCGGCGGGGCGGGAGGGCGG